CTACAGCAGGTGCCCAAAGACGCTTGTCTCATAGTGCAGCCCAGCCCAGCCCAGCCCCGACAGTACAAGATGGCCCGAGTCCTTGGGCCCCTGCACCCACGTGGTAGACTCAGAAGCAGCTCCTGGCTCCTGGCTTCGGATCAGCTCAGCTCTGACCATTGTGGCCAACTGGGGAGTGAAGCAGTGGACAGAAGACCTCTCTCTCTCTCTCTCTCTCTCTCTCTCTCTCTCTCTCTGCCTCTCTTTCTGTAACTCTAGCTCTCAAATAAATAAATCTTTAAAACAAAATAATAATAATAATAAAGAAGCCAGCTCCACTCCCGATTCCAGGTTCTTGCTAACGCACACACTGGAGGCAGCAGGTAACGACTCAAGTACTTGGGTCCCCGCCACCCACAGGGGAGACCTGGATTTGGTCTGGCCCAGCCCTGGCTCTTGTGGCATTTGAGGGATGAACCAGCAGATGGAAGCTTTCTCTCTCTTTCACATTGAACAAAATAAAATAGGGGCCAGCATTGTGGCATAGTGGGTTGGTGGCTAACTTTTATGCTGGCATCCCATATCAGAGCCCTGGTTCAAGTCCCAGCTGCTCCACTTCCAATCCAGCTCTCTGCTAATGTGACTGGGAAGGCAGCAGAAGGTGGCCTAAGTGTTTGGGCCCCTGCCACCCATGCAGGAGACCTGGATGAAGCTCCAGGCTCCTGGCTTCAGCCAGGACCAACCCTAGCCATTGCGGTCATTTGGGGAGTGAACCAGCACTGTCTCTCCATCTCTCTGTCACTGTGCTTTTCCAATTAAAAAAAAAAAAAAAAAACCAACTCACTGGGGAGCATGCCTGTCAAATGCAAACCATCCACCCTGCTAACTCACACACCCAAGCCATTGCTCCTGCTCGGAATCACCCCAGGGCACCAGGAGAGAAGCCTCCGTCCTGGCCACAGCCTGCCCGCAATCTCTCAGCCAGTCCCAAGGGGGTTCCTCTGCTCAGCCTTGCGCACACCAGGGGACCTCAGTCAAGGCTCCGGCCTGGGCTTCCCCTTCACTGCCCCTGCCCCTCTGTGCACCCCACGGCCCCATCAGAGGAACTGTCAAATGTCAGCCGCCAATCAAATTTCAGTGGCTGTCACCTGGGTGTGTTGTCACCTCCATGAATGCAAACCCCACAGGTGCAAATGAGGCGGTGAGCAGGGGCCTCCTGATTGGCTGGGGTTGGGACAGGGACGGGGGCGGGGGTGAGTGGGGCCTCCTGATTGGCTGGGGTTGGGGACGGGGGTGGGGGGTGAGTAGGGCCTCATGATTGGCTGGGGTGGGGACAAGGACGGTGAGTGGAGCCTCATGATTGGCTGGGGAGGGCACATGGACTGGGGGGTGTGAGCAGCAGCCTCATGATTGGCTGGGGTGGGGACATGGACTTGGGTGGGGGTGAGTGGGGTCTCATGATTGGCTGGGGTGGGGACATGGACTATCGGGGGTGAGCGGCGGCCTCAATCCAGGTCTGGCCGTCCTGTCCCCACTCCTGCCACAGCTGCCAGTGGGGTTTCCCACGTGCTCACAGGCCCCAGGCTCGGCCAAGTCTCTCCTTTTCCGTGGGCCTCAGTTTCTGCATCTATAAGACGGGCGCATGCTGGCCTAATAATGACACTGGAGTGATGCGGCCCTGAGGACCCCGCGTGACCCTTCTCCCCAGGGACCATCCCCCACCAGCCTTGGCCAAAGCCCCGCTGCGGGTGCACAGCCCAGCAGAGCCCACACAGACCCTAACTCGGTGTCGGCCCCCACCTTCCGGACCTTCCTGTAAGTCCCCAGAGTGTAATCAGGCTCCCGTCTGAGGGCGGCCGGGCTCTGTCCTCTGACCCCGACCACAGCGGCCAGCCGGGTTCTGTCCTCTGACCCTGGCCATAGCAGCTGGCATCCGGCCAGGCTCTGTCCTCCGACCCCGGCCACAGCACTCAGCAGCCAGCCAGGCTCTGTCCTCTGACCCCAGCCACAGTGCCCGGTGGCTGGCCTCTGTCCTCTGACCCCGGCCAAAGCAGCCAGCTGGCCTCCGTCCTCTGTCCCCGGCCACAGCGGCCAGCCAGGCTCCGTCCTCTGACCCCGGCCACAGTTCCCGGTGGCTGGCCTCTGTCCTCTGACCCCGGCCATAGTGCCTGGTGGCCAGCCGGCCTCTGTCCTCTGACCCCGGCCAAAGCAGCCAGCCAGGCTCCGTCCTCTGACCCCGACCACAGCGGCCAGCCAGGCTCTGTCCTCTGACCCTGGCCACAGCGGCCAGCCAGGCTCCATCCTCTGACCCAGCACCGGGATAAGAGTTCGTCCTGGGAAGGACGGCTGAGCCCCCCACCCAGCCCCGGCCTCCAGGTCCATCGGGGGCGTGACCAAGGGCAGGAGACCGTGCCTGCTCCTCGCATTCTCCCAAGTAAGTAAAGCAATCTGTGTAAAAGGTGACGGGAGCGCAGGAGCCTGTGTCCCTTTTACTCTGTGCAGGTGACCCGGTGACGCGAAAACGGCGCGCTCCTTGCGGGGTTCGCAGCACATTGAGGTTTACGGTGGGCGGGGAGCGAGCCGCCCGTGCTGACGGACCCTGGGGTCTCTGAGACCCCACGTCAGGGCACTGAGAGCCACCGAGGGAACTCAGAGAAGGAGAGAACGCGGGTGCCTGCGCACTGCCCCTCCGCCTCTATGCACGGCCCCACCTGATGCTGCACACGGCCCACTCCGCCTCTGTGCACACACACCCCCCACCCCGCTCACGGCCACGTCCCCCCCCCCCGCCCCCGCACACGCCCCGCCCCTCTGCCAAGTTGGACATTCAGAGTTCCCCCACTCACGGGAACTTGCTCCCTGTGCGCTGTGAATTCGTGATGAGCCAGGAGCCGCATTGCAGTCGTAGGACTGACAGCGAGGGGGTCGCACAAGGCCCGTAAGGAGCTCAGACACCTCCTGCCCTCGGCCCCGCCCTCCACAGCAGGAGCTGGACCAGGTGCAATGGAGCGGACGCAGGCAGGGCTGGTGCAGAGCCGCACCTGCCGCCCGGAGCACGTGACCCGGGGGTGCCCCCTACCTTGGGGAGGGGGAGGCCGAGTGCTGGACCAGGGCCTGAGGGCTGAGGGGGACAGAGCCAGAGCTCCTGCGGGAGCCCCGGGGGCGCAGCTCAGGTGCCGCTCGGACGGTGCTGCTTGGATGCCAGGGTCCCGGCGGGGGAGGAGGGGGGCGAGCGCCGGTCTCGGCTGCACCCCGGCCCCAGCTTCCTGGGAGGCAGCAGTGACCCCAAGGACCCGGGCCCCTGTACTCGGCCAGCGTCCTGCCAGGGCACGCGGTCCAAATCCCCGAGTCCCCACAGCGCACGGGGAGCCCTGGGTGCAGCTCCTGGCTCCTGGCTCCCGGCTCGGTCCGGCTCAGCCCTGGGTGAGGCCGTCTGGGACTGACCCAGCGGATGGAACAGCTGTGTGTGCGAACTCTGTCTTTCCAGTAAATCAGCCTTTGCCAGCAGTCAGCAGCCCCTCACTGAGCCTCTCTGGGATTGCAGACAGCTGGGAGCCGGGCCTGTGCCAATGCACGACCCCGCCCCCCGCCCCCCGCCCCCGCCGGCTCAGTCAGGTGCCCGAAGTCACAGGCTCGGCCGTGACTTCGCCCCGATTCGGGGAGTGTGAGCTCTTCGCGGGGTGGTCCCTCACTTGCCAGTCTTCCAGCTACAGACTCAAGACCCCCTGCTCACAGCAGGCAGGGGGCCCTGCACCCCGCAGCTGGCCTCATCCCCTCCCCCCAACCCGGCCCACACACGGTGTCCGAGGAGCACCTGGCACAGGCTCTGAGGCTTCGGGCGGTGCCAGCCACTCTTCACCCCTGGTCCAGGAGCCCCGAGGGTCCCTGGCAAGCACTGGGCTCAGCCAACACCAATGAACTTAGGGGCCGGCGCTGTGGTGCAGTGGGCTAAGCCTCCGCCTGCAGTGCCAGCATCCCACATGGGCGCTGGTTCGAGACCCGGCTGCTCCTCTTCCGATCTAGCTCTCTGCTAATGGCCTGGGACAGCAGCAGAAGATGACCCGAGTCCTTGGACCCCTGCACTCGCGTGGGAGACCCGGGAGAAGCTCCCGGCTTCGGCAGGTCTCTGCCCACTGCCCTGGTGCTGACACACAGGACTCAGTGGGAGCTGTGCTGATCTCCACCTCACCTCACCCATCCCCTTCCTCCTTCCCGCTGAAGGGCCTGAGTCAGCCCCTTGAGCTCCAGCGGCTCCCGGCCTCAGGCACCTTGTAATTCAGGAAGGGCCAGGTTGGGGGGGAGTGGCGGAGAGGGGGACCCTGCCAGCACCCAGCCCTCGCTTCAGCTCAGCTCGGTGCCGCGGGCCCACAAGGCATCATCCCAGCACTGCTGACTGCATGGCTGAGTTAAGTGATTATTTGCAACCCAAAGAGGACTTTAAGCCGTCTACACTCGGAGCATGAGAAAACAGCATGCTCTCGGCTAAGAGACGCTTAAAGAGTGACTTCCTAGATGCTGCCGTCTAAGCTGACAAACACGAAGCTGACGCCCAGGCCTCTACAGCAGAGCCCGTCCACTGGGCAGGACCGCAGCCCCCTGGCAGTGAGGTCTCTCTGTCTCTCGCCCCTCGGGCCCTCCCCACCCGTGTCTTCCAGGTGAGCCCTCGTGTGCGTTGGCTCCACCTCCTCCTGCCCCAGAGCCACAGGTGCAGGAAATGGCTAGACACCAAACCCCTTCCCCCAGACACCGCAAACGGGGATCCCAGGCAGAGGCCTGGGTCAGACAGCAAGAGCCGCAGCTACACAGCCCATGTCGGGGACATGACACCTGCCCCCGGGAGCCAGAACTGCCCCAAGAGGCAGCAGCCTCGCCCGGCCAGCACACAGCCAGCGCCCAGAGATACTGCAGTTCACGCCCCGCCAGTGTCTCGCGCCCCCGCAGCCCACCATGCCCCGCCGGCGCCCCGCGCCCCCACAGCCCACCATGCCCCGCCGGCGCCCCGCGCCCCCGCACAGACTTACCCTCATCACAGTTGCTCCCTGTAAAGCCGGGGCAGCACCTCCACTCCAGCGCCGTCACCGTGCGGTAGGACACCCTGTACGTGGGCCTGATGAGGGTCCTGTAACTAACACAAGGACAGTGTCAGCAGGGTGCCAGCGCCGCCCACCCCCAGCCTGGACCCTCCAAAGACAGCACCCTGGTCGCCAGCCTGGGCTCTGCACTCTGCGGCTGTGTGGCCCCAGGCAAGGCGCCACCCGGTCTGCGTCCCCTACAATTTAAAGGCCGTTCCGGCCGGCCCTGCTACAATTTCCCGGCTGTGGCCACTGACCAGGAGGGAGTAGGGACAAGGGAGCCTGGGAGCCCCTGCCCAGCGCCCAGCCATGTGCAGCCAGGCCCCCAGCGCCAGTCTCCTCCCCACTGATTCATCAACGGACCCACGTTCAGCACCCGCTCTGTGCCCTACAGAGGTCGTGTACTCAAAACTGCGTCCTTGGCCCCGGGAGAGGGCACTTGTCCATGACGATAGGGCGTGAGACTCTCCCAGGAAGCAGAAGGGTCCAGCAAAGCGTAGAGGTCCGGCTGGCATGGCAGAGTGGGCTAGGTTGCCAATCGCAACGCCTGCGTCCCATACCCCAACTCTGGCTTGAGTCCCACGGCTCCACTGCCCATCCAACTCCCTGCTGATACAACAGAGGATGGTCCAAGTTTGTGGGTCCCTGCCACCCATGTGGGAGACCTGGAAGGAGTCCCAGACTCCTGGATTTGTCTGGGAGAGACCAGACAGACAGACGCACAGACTGCACTTCCATCTGCTGGTTCACTCCCCAAATGCTCCAAACAGCCAGGGCTGGGCCAGGCTGAAGTCAAGAGCTGGGAGCTGCATCTGCATCTCCCGCATGGGCGTCAGGAGCCCAGGTCCTTGAGCCATCCCCTACTGCCTCCTCGGGGACACATTAGCAGGGAGCCGGGTCAGAAGTGGACCACCTGGGACTCGAACTGGTGCTCTGATAACACCTGCTCCTGATTTCTTAAAAACAAAAAAGAAAGAAACACCTCTCGTTGGGGTTTCACAAACGTTAGAGCAAACCAGCTTCCCTCCGGAGACCTGTGGGCGGGGGGACTGCGTGCAGCTGGACGGGAACCTTGGCGTGAGGAGCCAGGAGTCGAGAGCTGGCCGGGAGGGGTGGCCACAGCTGGGAGTTGCAGGGAAAGCTGGGTAGCCCAGTGCCGGCGGGGGCGCAGGGGGAGCCGGGGGCATGGGGAGGGGGCGGCAGAGCAGCAGCAGCATCCTACTCCCACTCCCACACACACCCGGTGCACACACTCATGCCAACACTCAGGGCGTGCACCCTTGCCCACACACCCTTGCACACTCGTATGCACGCCTCTGCTGTAGCACAGGGCGCTGGGTGAGGCTGGTCCATTCCCTCGCAGGAGCCATGCCAAGGATGGAGACCACCAGCCCGGCCGGAACTGGCTCCGAAGCCCGGGAGGTCCAGTTTGTGTTTGCTCAGTATGGGGGAACACTTTTCCTCCAACATCTGCACGAGGGCACTGCCTCGGGACCCAGAACCAGAAGCTACAGCTCCACCCCCTGGGATGCTCATGGCTTTCTGAGGGCCACAGGGCTGGCAGCCCAGGAACCCGCTGGCCTGCGAGTGCAGGCGTAGAACGCACCAGCAGGTGGCGCTGCTTCCCAAGGCTCAGCGTGGGTCTCACCTGAGCGCCCAAAGCTGTCTCCAGGGGGAAGAACCCCAGGGAGTTCCACCTTCCTGCATCCAGGAAGAACTCCCGGCACCCACAGACCCAGTATGGTGAATACCCTCCCTCTAAACCTCCCACGGCTGCCACAGACCAGGCACCAAACCCCGAGTCAGCCGCGCCTGCCACTACCACCTGCAAGAGCCGCCCGTAGCCCTTCAGGCCCCAGTGCCTTTGCAAGTGCAGGCCTGAGAAAGTTCCCAAGGCACCTCCAAGGCATGACTCAGAGGTCCCCTCCTCCTCTGCCCCTGCCCAGACTGGACATCCTGGGCAGAGAGCATGGCCATCACGGATCCCCACCCACGTCCCAGGAACCCGTTCTGGGCAGTCAGTGGGAGACCCAGTGGACAAGGCATGCGTGGACTCTACTCTGCAGGGGTGCATGGCTGCCGGGGCCCCCAGCACCACTCCTGCTGCCACACGCGAACATGAGACTACACGCAGTGAGTGGCGGGAAGGGAAGCCATCCGCACACAACAGTGGGTCCTTCTGTCTTTGCGAAAACGTAATTCGCACACAGCAAGGAAGCTACGTGTCGTGTGTGCATTCCTAACCCCCACAGCTCTGCTGAGTGGCTTCCCCGGCCCCACAGGTGCCTGGGCGTCGGACCTCTCCCACCAAGGATGAGTCTCCGTGTACTACAGTTTCAGATAAAGGGACACTTAGAATTCCTGTTCTTTGCCTCCTATGATTCCTGCACTCCAAGACCATTCCTGCTATGAAAGGTCGTGGGATTCTGCTCCCTGTGATTGCTACGCCGTCCTAAACCCCAGGAACACACCCAGTGCACCCCAACCTGCTGACAGACATTGGAGTCGCTTCCCGTTGTGAGCTGTGACGGGCAGGAACACTGCAGACATTCCTGGACAAGCCGTGGTGGACAGACGGTGTTTTAACTCCTCCAGGCCACCCGCCTAGCTTGATGGGGCACAGGACAGACACGGAGCGTGCTTCCAAAGGGTGGTGGGAAAAGTAGAATTAAAAGACCACTGCGTTTTGGTGCAAAGACATTTGAAGTCCAGGCATAGTTTTTTTCACAACACACATTCCCTGTGAACATTTTGTTCGTATGCCTGGATTTCAAAAAAAAAAAAAATCAGTATAAATTCTCTTGTAATTCCATTGTCCACAGACTTTCTGAGGTGCCTTTATACATGTTTACCTTTACGGAGGGTCCCCAAAAAGCCTGGCGCCCCCTGGAAGAACAGCATCCTGGCTAGCCTCGGCGTGCAGGAGACCTGGCTGCCCATGTCCTTGTCAATGTCTGATGCTGTCAGTCGCTTTCCTATGTATTTATTTATTTAGACAGGCAGAATTAGACAGTGAGAGAGAGAGAGAAAGGTCTTCCTTCCGTTGGTTCACCCCCAAAATGGCCACTACAGCCGGCGCTGTGCCGATCCAAAGCCAGGAAGGAGCCAGGTGCTTCCTCCTGGTCTCCCATGGGGTGCAGGGCCCAAGCACTTGGGCCATCCTCCACTGCCTTCCCGGGCCACAGCAGAGAGCTGTCCTGGAAGAGGGGCAACCAGGACAGAATCTGGCACCCCAACCGGGACTAGAACCCGGGGTGCCAGCGCCGCAGGCGGAGGATTAGCCTAGGGAGCCGTGATGCCGGCCCGATGCTGTCAGTCGCTTTCAACTCAGCCCTTGCTGGGTGTAGGTAGCACCTGGCTGCAACCTACAATTCTGTGGACTAAAGTCGAGTCCCTTTTCACGCCTGGCGTTTGGATCTCTGCTCTATGAATTGCCGGTACAAACCTTGGGCCCATTTCTGAGCCAGGTTTTCTGTCTTGCCCCTTCTGACGGGGGTGACTTCGTATCTGTTTAATTATGTATTCTGCGTACTCACATATACGCTGGCACCTATACGGACATGTAGATGAAGAACGTTAAAAAGCAGATACACTGGCGGGCAGCTGACATGCGCTTAGACGCCAGCATCCCTCACGGACGGACGCACCTGCTTCAGCGTGCAGCTCCGCCCCCACACGGAGGCTCCCTGCTGAGCAGGGCCCTCATTGACTGTGGGAGCCCGGGCTGAGCTCCTGGCTGCACTTCCAGCCGGCCATCTGGAGAGCGGCCAGTGCATGGGCTCTCCTCTCTCTCTGCCTCTCAAATAAAAACAAAGAACCACCTGTGAGACCTGCGACTTGTCTTTTTCATTTTTTTTTTTTTTTAATTGAAAGGCATCAGAGAGAGAAGGGGAGAGACAGACAGAGAGGTCTTCCATCTGCTGGCTCACTCCCCAAATAGCGTAATGGATGGGGCTGGGCCAGACCAAAGTCAGGAGCCAGGAGCTTCTTCCAGGTCTCTCGCGTGGGTGCAGGGGCCCAAGCACTTGGGCCATCTTCTACTGCTTTCCCAGGTGCATTAGCAGGGAGCTGGATTGGAAGTGGAGCGGCCAAGATTCTAACCAGCAACCATAAGGGATGTCGGCTGACAGTACCACAGCGCTGGCCCATCTTTTTATGTTCTTAAAGGTGTATAAGACTTCAACAAGTTCGTGGAAAATGTGTGTGATGAAAAGACTAGTTTTAGGCTGGCGCCGCGGCTCACTAGGCTAATCCTCCGCCTAGCGGCGCCGGCACACCGGGTTCTAGTCCCGGTTGGGGCGCTGGATTCTGTCCCGGTTGCCCCTCTTCCAGGCCAGCTCTCTGCTGTGGCCAGGGAGTGCAGTGGAGGATGGCCCAGGTGCTTGGGCCCTGCACCCCATGGGAGACCAGGAAAAGCACCTGGATCCTGGCTCCTGCCATCGGATCAGCGCGGTGTGCCGGCCGCAGCGCGCCGGCCGCGGCGGCCATTGGAGGGTGAACCAACGGCAAAGGAAGACCTTTCTCTTTCTCTCTCTCTCTCTCTCTCACTGTCCACTCTGCCTGTCAAAAAAAAAATGAAATAAAAAATAAATAAATAAAAAAAAGAAAAGACTAGTTTTGAGTCTCAGAATTTTTTGGCACCACAATGAAGTTGTGAGTCCCTTGTTCATGGACTTCTTGAACTACCCTTGTATTTATGATAGGCCGTTTTTAACTCTAATGAAGTCTAACTTATCACTTAAAAATTTTTTACTACTGTGGGAGAGGGGCCATCTTCCACCTGAACTCCCAGCTGCCTCAGAGCCATGTATCAAAGACTTCCTTTTCCGTACTGAACCACTCTAGTGTCTTGCTGAAGGCCTAACTGTCAGGGCCGGCACTGTGGCGCAGCAGTTAAGTCTGTGCCTGCAACATTAGCATTCCACATCAGTGCTGGTTCGAGTTCCGGCTGCTCCACTTCTGATCCAGCTCCCTGCTAATGTGCCTGGGAAGGCAGTGGAAGATGGCCCAAGTGCTTGGGCCCCTGCACCCATGTGGGAGACCCGGATGGAGC